ACATAGTTCCTTGCTTAAACTTTTCTAAGAAATAAAGTATCGTGTTTTTCCTAAAGATGTTATTAATTCATACATGTTCTCCTTTGATAGAATAACACCTACTCTAAATACATGAAAAGGTTAATTTACTTTTACTGTGCTTTACTTCTTCTCTGGAAGTAGGAGAATTACCTTTAATTTTTATATTATTATTATTATTATTTAGACCAGTTTCACTCTGTCACCCAGGGCTGGACTGCAGTGGTGTGATCTCTGCTCACTGCAACCCCCGCCTCCAGTTTAAGCAATTCTTTTGCCTCAGCCGTCCAAGTAGCTGGGACTATAGGCACCTGCCACCACACCTGGCTAATTTTTGTGTTATTGGTAGCGATAGGGTTTCACCATGTTGGCCAGGCTGATCTCGAACTCCTGACCTCCAGTGATCTGCCCACTTCAGCCTCCAAAAGTGCTGTGATTACAGGTGTGAGCCACCATGCCTGGCCAGAAAATTACTTTGTATTATGTGGAATTTGGCCTAATGCACTTCTGCGTCAGGTCTAGTGCCATATTCTCAGAGGTCTTATAAATGTTGCTGCTTGAAAGAAAGTGAAATAATAAAATATTTAGATTGGAAAAGAGAGGACTCTTCTCTCTCGCCCTCTGTGTCTATCCCTATCTTCTTTTGTAGTTGTAGAGTAATTAAAGGGGTATATTGTAGAAGGATAGACATTAAATTTATTCTATGTGGTCCCCAAGGCACAATTTGGGCCCATCAATGTAGGCTACAGGCAAATCTGTTTCTACTCAAACAATAGCTCTCCCTGGAAATGGAATGAGTGGTGAGTGATTTCTGCATCCCTGGAGGTGTCAAGCAGATATTTATTGAGATCATTATGGAAGATATTCATGGACCAGGTTGAAGTTGGCAACCTTCTGAAATCTCTCTGGGATTGCAGATACATCAACAAGTTCATGCCAGGCAGCTGCAGAGGAAAGCATGGATATGTGCAACTCTGAGGATAAGGGTCACTGTGCTGGCTGCCTGTTAACAGGACAGCTCTTAGAGCGACGGGGTAGGTAGCACTCAGATACAGGGTATAACTTCTAAAAACGAGATGATAAGAAATGGTTGCAAGTTTGTGTTCTCTCAAGGTGGCTTTGGTTTTTGGAAACATGCAAAAATCTGGCCAATTTGGGGCCAGCATGCTGGACAATACTGTTTGGGGGTTAAAAAAAAAAACTCTAACAACATAGGCATAACTACAGAGGGATGGAGTTTATTTTCTTAGCATGCCCATAAGCTCAATATGAAATATGGGAGAGTTCCCTAAAGTGGCACTTTGAAAATGTGTGCAGCCACAAAAGCACTGGAGGAAGCTGTACTCAGTGAGTATCTAGATTCTGAAGTGATTTTTCAAAGATCAGTCTCACATTTTACAGCTATGGTATTCATCATATCTTGGTAGGGGGATTGACAGATTTATTCTATTTCTTATGATAAAGTATTTCTGAGGCTCCTCAAGCTCTAACCCATGCTTCCTTCACTAGGGGACTCATCACATTCCATGGAGATCTTATAAAGACCCAGCAGGGGCTGCCAAGCCTGTCACCTGGGTGCTCTGGCTGGATCACATTATTTAACCTGGCTCTGCTTCTTCACTCCCTGTAAGCTCATTTGTCTGCTGGTGCAGCAACATGACACTTGAGGAGGGCTCTACCTGCTTGGCACATGCTCATAGCTGGACAGCTGCTAGAGCCAGTTACCTCTAAATGCAGGGAGGGAATGTGGCAGGTTGGCGGGGGCTGGGGGGTTGCTCCTGCCAGCTTTTGTGATTTGGGGTACTGAAGATGCCATCTGCAGTTCTTTTCAGAGATGTCAGAGCCTATCAGCCCTTCAAGAAGGACCTGGATTAAATTGTAGATCCTTCTTTGTGAGAGAGTCCAGGGAAATATCCTAATCCAGACTTATATAATGAATAAGGCTTGAGCCGTCTCTTGACAGCAGGCTTCAGCAAATGGAAAAGGGGATCATTGGGGCAGATGACAAGATTGCTAAAGGGACTGGAAAAAGAAGAGACTGGGCAGCTAAAGACAAGCATCAAGGATGACATCACAGCTTTGTTTAAAGCCACCTTCAGAATACAGACTTACAACAAATGGCAAGTATGTATTGACAATTGTAGAAATTGGGCAGCCTTATCATGGAGCACCCAGAGTAACTCCCTTTTACTGGTTAATGATCATGGGGTCAGATAAGGACATAGGGAGGCACACTGGTTGTCTTCAATTTGCATGGTTGGCGATGACCCAACCATGTAGCATGGAAGGGTATGGCCCCTGGTTGTTTACCTTCCCATCAAACTTTTTCCTTTCTCCAAAGCATCAGCCCTCTATATGTAGGATTGTCTCTCCCCAGTCTCAGAGGCTTTGGGTAGGGATGAAGCATGTGACCAGGCTTGAGACAATCAATCCATCGTGGTTCCCTGGCTGCAGTGATTGGTTCAGGGTTGGCAGCAACAATGATGTTCAGTGACATTTTTTGCTCGGAGTGCTGGTACTTAGGCAGAGAGAGGTCTTTCTAGCCGGACTTGAACTTGAGAGGTCTTTCTAGCCAGACTTGAACTTGCAAGCTGAAATGCGTGCAGCAGTCTTAAAACTACCAGGAGCCTGAGACCGAAGTCAGTGCAGTGCAGACAGAGCAGAGAGTTGGAAGGAACCAAGTCCTGATGACATTGCCTGCACTCAGAATTCAGCCATGCCTGAAGGCTGATCTTCCATTGGACTTTCCAGTTCTCTTTTCTTACATAAGTTTAGGTTGAACCATCTGTTTGTTACCATAGAAGCGCTGACTGCGATAGTTCCGAGTAGCTGGTGGGACAGGACTAATGCAATGAGGTAAGTTGCAAGGTGTCGTATGGCAATTCCCTGTAAGGAAATGCCTTGGAAAGAGCCTTCTAAAAAGGGTACATGCTCCCTCGAGGGTGAATGCCTTTTCAGTGGCAGGATTTGCACCCTGCACTGGATGAGCACTTGGAGGAGATAATGAACAATAAATTCCAGGAAAATGAGAGGTTTAATTGGGCAGTTCTTTAGATCTATGTATTTCAGAGTCTCTTAATGACCATGCAGTGCAGTACACGCCCCTTCTGACCGGCTCTCCATTATCTCAATACAAACATGAAGTGATAAAAGTAAGATTCTAACTGTGATGTGGTAACAGACTGCTGGGCGGTCCACTAACCTAACCTTGGCTCATTCTTCTGCTCTGCCACACAGATCAACTCATTGTGCCCTTCCAAACCTCTTCCACTTTCTGCTCCATTGTACCCACTTTTTTGCCCCTACTGAGAATTTCTCCCTTTTATTTTTTCTTTTTTTGCCTTACAAAAGCCAGCTCCTTTTTTTTTTTAAGACAGAATCTCACTCTGTCACCAGGCTGAAGTGCAGTGGTGGGATCTCAGCTCACTGCAACCTCTGCCTCTTGGGTTCAAATAATTCTCCTGCCTCAGCCTCCCAAGTAGCGGGGACTACAAGTGCATGCCACCATGCCTGGCAAATTTTTGTATTTTTAGTACAGATGGGGTTTCACCATGGCCAAGATGGTCTCGATCTCTTGACCTTGTGATCCGCCTGCCTCAGCCTCCCAAAGTGCTGGGATTACAGGCATGAACCACCCAAAAGCCAGCTCCTTTCCATGAGGCTCTGTCCTCAGGCTATCTCAGACCAATGATGTGGTTCTAACTTCTGAGCTCTAGGCTATCCAGTTGTCTGAAGCACGTGTTTGTGACTTATTAAGACTGCTTGTAATAAGTCCCCTGATGTCTCCTTGTAATCTATCATCTCCCCATCTTCTTGAAGGCAGAGATGGATTATGAATCGTATCACCCACAGCTTGGTACAGGCTGCACTCACACTCAGCAGGTGCTTATAGGTAAATGATGCCCCAATGTCAGGGGCTATTGTCAGTATGCCCTGCTGGAGTATGGCCACCTGACAATCTCAGATCCAGATCTTTAGAGTTCACTGGGCTGCCTATGAGCTCTCCTACACCAATTTGCCAACCCATGGGAGACTAGTTATGTCTAAAGTAGTTGCTGGGCCCAAGATACAGAGGAGACAGAAGCATACCTCCTCCCTCCAAGACCTTCCTACCCCACCTGCACCTGACACCCCATGTGCATGATGAGATATATGTGTGTATATATATATAGCCATATATATGATACATGTATATATCATACGTAGCCATATAGAATAAATATAAATGAAAATATTTCATATATAAGCAATATATATGATAAATATGTATGATTATATATTTATTCATTTATTAAATACCAACCAGGTATCCACAGTGTGCCGGACACTGGGTGCCTCAGCTCAGGTAGCTCCGATCTGCACGTGTTTCCTTTGGAGGTAGGGTCTATTTGCCCCTTACTGATGCCAAGGGACTCCTCCTAAGTTCTACCCACTCCCCCCTTTTATCTAGGACTGAGCCATAGAGCTCGTCAGTCCCAGAACCACCTTCTAATCCGTGTCCTCTGCTCACACAATTTTCTGGGTCTCTCCTAAAATCCAAAAGAGGCCTGGGCTCCCCACGAAAAACCTAATGGTTATAATTATTGTGAGTTTTGCATTTTAAATGTCTGCTTGGTTTAAATTAGTGAAGCCAAGGAGTTCAAACTCTAAGAAAAGTAGATAAAATCCTGACAGTTTGGGGGAAAGCAAATCCAAACTCCTGCTGGGCTCCAGCTGGAGGTCCTGACCCCTAGGACCGCTGTGAGCGAGGGTTGGGCTTTTGGCTCTGAACCTGAGGATGAGGCTCCGAGTTCTACCTGCTGCCTGGCTGAAGGCAGCTTAAATGATGTGCTTCCCAGACGAGCCTGACCTCCCAGACGCCAGCCAGGGACTGTGGCAGGTGCTTTTTCATATTCTACAGCTCTGCAGCCCCAAGCTGCTGGGGGCGGGGAACACGTGTTGGGGAGAGAGGATCAGGTCCCCAGGGCCCATCTGGCGATGGTGGCCTGGCGGGGAGTCAGGCTCGCCTTTGCCCTCTGTCTGTGCCAGAGCTCTGGAACCTGGCTGGCATCTCTTGAGAGCAAAGCGAAGCCCGCGAGCGATCTCCCGGGAACTTCCTAGAAAAAAAAAATTTCAGGTTGGAAAGGGAGGGCCGAACACCGGAGGGAGGGAGCGCTCCTCGGCAGGGACTCAGGTTGGCCAGGGCTGCCCCGAGCCCCGGAGAATCCCCAGAGCGATCGTTCACTACATGCCCACATGCCTGCGTGTGCCAGGGAGCCAGAGCTCGGACAGCGGGAGTCGGAGACAGGACCAGGAGCTGCAGAGGAGCCGCGGCAGAGCCCCAGCGAGCGCGCTGCCCTGGCTCGGAGCCCAGGGGCCGCCCACTGGCGGGGGAGGCGGGGAGCGCGCAGGGAGGCGGCGGCGGCGGTGGGGCTTCCCCGGGCTTCCCCTCCCCTGGCCGCAGGTGCCCGGAGCGGGCCTAGGACACGGAGGCTGCTCCCGGCGAGAGGGAGCTGGGAGTTCCTAAGGCGGCAGCGGCTCCGCACTAGGACGCGGGGTCCCCAGCCTCGCTAGTGGCCGGCGCGGCTTCCCGGAGCCCCAGAGCCCCGGAGCCCGACGCGGGTGGTTTGGGCTGAGCCCTCCCCGGCGCCTGCCCCCCGCCCGGCACCCGCCTCCGCCCCGCCCGCGGTCTGGAGAGCGCCTCCCTCGCCTCCCTCGCCTCCCAGGGTCTGGCTAGCGGGCGCCGGCAGAGCTGCGGAGAGCACTAGCCGTCGCCGCGGGAGCTGCTCCAGCCGCACCATGCGGGAGCTGGCCATCGAGATCGGGGTGCGAGCCCTGCTCTTCGGAGTCTTCGTGTAAGTAGTGGCGCGCCGTGGGCAGGGCGCTCTGACGCGGGGACCCACCAACCGAGCCTCTCTGCTCCCTAAGTTAGTTTGCGCTGCCTCTTCCTACTGGGGCCTGGGTTCGAGGTCCCTTCCCCGCTCAGTACCCGCGACTTGTCCTACCGGACCAAGAGAGAACCTCCCTCTCTCCTTCCTGGGACTCTAGGCGCAGAGCGACCCCCGTGCGCTGGGGCTGAGACCTGCTCCTGGGTCTCACGGGGCCCGCGCCTGTCGCCAGCCCCACACCACCTGCCCGCGGGAGTCCGGGCTGCACCTCTGAACAGGGACGCGCACCCTGGCCCGTGCCCTTGGGAAGTTTTTCCTTCTGTGTGATCTTTGAGGCCCAGGTTGAAAGTCTTTGCCCCTGACCCTGTCTCCGGTTCCTCCCCGCTGTGCCTAGGGCCAGACTCCTTCCGTGTCCCTGGCTTTAGCGCCCGCGGTCCTGCCGAGCGTTTTCCCAGCGGGCATTGGCGGCGCTTTTCCTACAGAGAAACTGTTGCTGAGGAGGCTTGAGAAGTCAAGGGGCTGCAGCTGGGGGTAGGATACACCCACCCTGGAGCTCTGTGCCCAGTAGATGTCTGCTTTGGGGGCGGGGTCCTTTAGGGGCAGCCGTGAAATGTCCAGGGTGGCGTTGAGTGGCTGGTACTGGGAACAGCGATCCGGAAGAGGAGGGGGGTGGTGGCGCAGGTTTTTTCAGAGATGTCTGAGCTTCCTCCATGCGCCCCAGGGACCCACCGCTCATTGACCTCCAGGGCCCAAGCTGCAGGTAGCTGTCGCATCTCTCTTTCAGATCTAAGCCCAGAACACCAGCTCAGAGCCACCCCACAGCCTCCCGTGAGCTGCTGTCACCTAGGCACCGACACCTGCACTGGTCCCTCCTTCAGTGAGTCAGGTTCTCTCCCCCTCTCTTCCCATGGCTGTTTTCTGCCACATTCTAAATATTAAAGTTGCATGAACTTTCTGGATTTGCCATACATTTATTTATTTGTTTGTTTCTCTTGTTTCTTGAAAAGCCCTCCCAAAACAAACGGGAGGCCCTCTCTGAATTTTTGCCTCAGTCTGGAGTCATCCATGGCAGGTGTGCTGTGTCAAAGATGACCTCTGTTCTGGGCAGCCCAGGGTATACACATGGAAAGAAATGCCCTTTCTTGCATGTTTTTCTTTACCAGGGATTAAATTCATCCAGAGTATTTATTCACACCATCAGAAAAGGCCATGAGCTCCCCCAGATGCAAGCAAACCCCCCTCTCCCGCCTTCTGCCCGAACACTGGTGTTATTCACTGGGGAGAAGGAACAAGAACTTCAGTTGGGTTTTGATGCGTTTGGAAAAACAAAACACTTTTCCCTTCTCTTACTCTGTTTTCTACCCTTGGAATGTACATTAAAACTAGTTATTGCTGTGTGGTCAGATGGGGACAGTTTCCAATTGGCAGATAGGCTAAAACCTTATTAAATTATTATGCGATAGAAATAATTAAATAATAATATAGTGTTCAGTGCACAGTAGAATTTAACATTCCTTGGGTGAATGTAGGAAGAATGCTGAGATAAAGTGAGATAGGCTCTCATGCTACCTAGTTTGACAGCTGCTGGGTGTGCTCAGATAAATAGGGGTTCAACAATATGTAAAAATATAGTTTTCAGGTTTCCCTTCCAATATCCCCCCAAACATTTATGAGATGGTTACAGATATACAATGGTCTGTGCAGTAAATTTGAAAACATGGTAATTATTGTTAATGCGCATCTTGCTTTTTCTAAGGGTGTTATGTAAAATCTGGACAGGCAATTTATGTTCTGTTCTCTGAAGTTCCCTCTTGTGTTACTTAATAGGGGATCTGCTGTCGCACATGAACATTGATGGCATTTTTGGATGATTCCCAGGTTTCTTATCAAATTGTTAACAGTATGTCCAACCTGTGGCTCTTTTACCTGCAAAAACCAGCTTTGGTATTGATGCGAGCCTCTCTAGGGGGTGGATCTTGGATGTTCAGATGCTGTTAATATCAGGGGTATTCCAACTTCTGGGAGGATGGCTGGGAGCACAGAAACAGATGACCCTTTGTTTTCTCAGATAAGTGTCTGGCACCTTGACAGAGGCTGACTTTTGGGGGAAGTTTTGTTATTCCTTTTGCTGGCACTGGAATGATGGCAAGATTCAGTGGGTTGTACCCACCTCTGCTCATGAAGATGGTGGTCTCAGCAGTACAGGTGTTTAGAAAGTCCCCCTGGGGCAGGCTGAATCTGATTTCCTTGCTGCAGGCAGTGTCCAATCTGGCCAGTGTAACTCATCATCTAGTTTTGCTTGGTATTTCTGCCCTATTTCTCAGGACGAAAGAATATTTTTTGGGAGGAACAGATATCTTGCTTCTTTGCAACTTATGCCTTGGGGAAACATGACCTGTAGATGTGCCTGTTTTCTGACTACATTTGCTTTGCATGAGAGCAGGGATACTGCTGCCTATAGCCCATATGCTCCTCAAATATTCCAAGTTAGAGCTAATAAAATGCATTTTGGGCCCATAGGTAGTAGGGATGCAAGCTTTTTCTTACTGACTCTTCAAGGTCCCATTTTCTGTTTCTAGATGAGGCACAGTGCTCAGGTTTTGTGCATTCTGAATTCTGAGAGGATGCTCTCCAGGCAACCCCCGCCACCGTACAGACGCTCAGTCCTGTTTAAGGACTTCAGATCACTGGGAAGGAAATTAGTAGAGTAATGCAAATCAAGGCTGGCATGTAAAGTTTAATGTAGCTGAAGATCAATTGGTTGCAGGAACCCAGTGTTTAGGAAAAACGAAAGTACAACGTGAAGCATTGAGGCTGCATTTAGTATCATGAAGTGTGTGGGCCTCGAGGTCCTATTGCTCTTACTCATGGATTGTGGGCAGAGCAGGAAGGAGAAGCATTTATGGGCTCCTCCTGTCCTGTTGCTACCCAGGACTCCAGGAGAGATTCTTTTGAGTATTTCTGCAAATGCCAAGGATAGCAACAGATCTTACTGAGCAAGCACATAGTGTAGAAATGAGATGGCTGGTTAATATCCAGCGGACCAATGGAGCACTACTAGGAGCACACTACTATCACCAGTACAATAGCAATCATTTACCGGGAGCTTACTGTGTGTCAGGCACCCATGAAGCCTTTCCCATATGCTTTAGCCTGATGATGGGAGTATGTTGATATTTCTTTGTCATAGATGAAAAAACTGAAGCACAATAAAATTAAGGAATTTCCCTGGGACAGGAATAACAAGGGCAGCTCTGAGACCTAAATCTAGATGCTTCATCTGCAAGGTCTGGACTCTCAGTCACTTTGCTTCATAAAAAATAGCAGCCAATTTTGATCAGTCCAGGTCTTACTGCATGCAAAAGGCATTCCATGTGATTTCTCTTTTAAGACTCATCTCACTGGATTTCTGTTCATTATCCCCACTTTACAATTAAAGAAACCAAGGTTTAGAAAGGTTGAGTAAGTTGCCAGAAGTCATTCAGCTAGCAGGAGGTATAACCCTGATTCAAACAGGCAGTTGACCCCGTGTCCCTGAATGGTCAGCCTCTGAGACAGAATATATCCAGCCCCAGGTTTCCAGACTGGTGTGAAACTGACCACATCCTGTGAGCCATTCCTTCCATAGCTCCTTATCCCCAGAGGAGCAAACTGCACATTGCCTGGAGTGATGTGTAGGAAGCTGTCACTCTAGCTCTAAAATCACATGCTAGAATGGCACCTCAAAGGTAGAGGGATGGCAATGGTGGTTCACACTTCCTAAAAGTTGGGATTGGATCATGGCATAGATTTTAAGGTTACGATGTGGTGAGTTAATTGCTGGTGAGAACATCAATCGTGGTGGTAAGAAACTAGGTATACCCTGCTTTCTTCTGCTGTTTTTGGCCATCATCTCCTAGGACATCAGTTAGTTCAAGCACCCTGTATTTATAACACTGCAGAAAGAACCCCAGAAAGGTGATGACAATCTAATGTGCTGGACTGGGGGAAAGGTGGTCTGCCTGTTTCACTTGTCAGCTTGAGTTCCTTGGGGATCTTCTCTTCCTCTTTCCTTCCTTCCATCTGCCCATCTCCCCACCCCTCCCTGCCATTCCTGGTGGCTCTCTGTCTGCAGGGTCTCCCCAGGAGCTGAGTCTTCTCAGGCTGCCAGGGTGCACAGGCACTGGTGTTTACCTCCCCTTAGATCAACCCAGCATCCTTCTATGAGCTCTTTGGAGGCAAGAGCCCTGTGCCAGGCACTGGGGATGAGAGGGGAGGGAAGGCCCGGTGGCCTCCAGTAGCTCACGGTCCAGTAGGGAAAGCACACAGTGGGCCACCATTTATTATTTTCTCCAGTGCAATTACTGGTTTTGAAAGTTTTGCCTCCAAACATTTCTCTTTCATTGTTCATCCGCTTGACGGATATTTGGCGCCTTCTAGGTGCAAGCATTTCTGACAGTCATTTTCTTTCCCCTTCATTGGTACTCTTTGGTTGGTGTACTTCCAGCAAGACAGAGGGAAACTTGGTGCTTTAGCTAGTCCAGGTGACTTGCTTGAGGGCACTGGATGTCAGGTAGATTTTTGCAATATTGACAAAAACTAACAGATTCATCTTTATTAACCCTAGGAGCCCAGTGTAAGACTCCAAGCTGGGGGCAGTTGGAGCAGGGTGCATGGTTTCACTGAGAAGGAGGATGCAGGTGCCAGGGAAGGCTGCCCAGGGCTGAGCACTGAATGCCAAGTGTACAGGTCCTAGGCCCGAGGACATTCCTACAGGGCAAAGGCCTGGAGGTGTGGAGGCATATTTTGGGTGGGGATCAGGTCACCAAGTGTGGCCTCACACAGTGTGGGTTTTGGGGTGGGTGGGTATGGGAGTAACAGGAAGCAAGCCTGGAGGGAGAAGGCAGGTGGCCTCAGGGCCTTGCAGGGCAGTGATCATTTCCACAGAGGCAAAACTGGGGAGGCTGGAGGTTTGAAACAAAACTGTACATTGCTCAGATATTTGCCCAGGGGTGGAAAGGGGCCCTATGGCTGGATGCACAGGCCCTGCTGACTGTGATGAGTGACAGTACACAGCTTCGTGGCCACAGCCCTGCTTCACAGCTCCCCAGGACATTGTGGCTGATTTGAGGCAGTGTAAATCTTAGGGATGAGCTAGACCTGTGCATTGAGATGGCAGCACCGCAGGGTGGAGGCAGCAGGTGGTGGCCCTGGAGAATCCCGTTGCTAGAGTGGCCTTTGTAGGATGGAGGGGGACTTTTGTGTTGACTGAAGTTTGGGGTTGATTGGCTACTGTAGCATGAGTCCTTTCTATCTAATGAATACATCTGGCATTATTCTGCCTGCTCTCTAGAAACAAGTTGCAAATATTGTTTGAGGCAAAGAGGTGTAACAAAGGACCTCAGGCTTTTTGGAGCCAGGCAGGTCTGTGTTTGGGTTTTAGCTCTGCCACTAACTAGTAGGTTGCCTTCAACTTCTGAAGCTTAGTTTCTTCATGTAAGAAATGGAGCTATTACTTACTTCATTGGATTTTATTAGATAAGGTAGTTTAAGTGCCTGTGGTACATAGAACAAAAGTCAGTGACTTCTCTCCACCCTTGTTAATCCCTGTCACATATATGTAGTGTCTAAGAATGGCAAGGCAGCACAGTTGTTACAACAGTGGCCTTTGGCGTGAGGTTACCCGAGCTTAAATCCTATTTTGTTTTGTTTTTGAGACAGTCTCTGTCTGTCTCCCAGGCTGGAGTGCAGTGGCGCAACCATAGCTATTCCCCTCAGCCAGCTATCTCCTTTGGCCCTGCCCTTACAGGCCCCAGAGGATTCTTTTTTTGTCTATATAGATAGTCTTGCTCTGTCACCCAGGCTGGAGTGCAGAGGCATGATCACAGCTTGCTGCAG